TAAATACAATGTAATTATAAGCCACAGTACTATAACACTATTCTCTAAAACCATCTGCCCTGGTTTTTTAGATCTTATATGCTAAATATCACATTACTGAGTTTATTACATTGGCACTACTGCTAACTGTCCCACAGCTTCTTTTACTATTTTTTTAAAACAGATATAAGATCATATTACACAAGTACAAGCTGTCAAATAAAAGGACACTGCAATATTGTAACTTAGAATATATTATTTCCCCACCTTAGAGTCAGTTTGTAAACAATCTGCCCTCACTTAAAAACACTCTAAACTTCCCTAAACTATCAACCATGAGCTTAACTTAGAATTCAGACTCTGAACTGTATCTGAAAGAAATAAAGTTCAAGGATACCATTACCTCTCCTATATATGTAAGTTACAAGAGGTTTTGTGGGCTGATTGGAAACGTAACTATTATGTAACATTGACTTGACAGGAAAATCCACCCAAGTTTCCAAGAAATGCCTTACTGCCTCTGACATGTAATCTACTCATAAACTGGAGTCAGATATATTAATCTCTTCACAAGGATAATTACTACAACAAAGATGTATATATTTCAAATTGCAAACAAAGTTTGAAAGTAAAACTAACGTAAGGTTATTTTTTCTATCAAGAAGTGATTTCAATACCCAAAGTTTTTCAGGTTTCAAAAAAAGTGGCTGTCATACTTTTCAAACAACATCTTCAAAATTCAAAGTATTTGAATATAAAGTCTTCTTTATCCTAGTTCTTTCATCCTGTAAGAAGAAATCTAAACTTTTGAAATTTTAGGTTTTAAGTATCTCTAGGATAACTGTGCCAAATTCAGTTAGCATTTTTCACCATGAGGGAAATCAACTCCTAAAATTAAGCTAAAAAAGTTTGGGTTATATTTATTTCCCACTTACGTCAAATTAAATTTAAAATTAAACTGCCAAGTTGAAGTTCCTGGAGGATATTCTCCTTGCTCATTCATAAATGTCAGTCCTAGCTGAATTATCTTTAACAAGTCTACATTACATCGCAATAGTTGGTACTGATAGTCAGCATTGCTCCTGAATTCTCCAATAGGTCTTGCAACCACACCTGGAAACTCGGTGTCCTGTAAAAATAGTTTTAAGATTCATTATTTACTAAATGATTAAACCACAATTCACAAATTCTTAGAATAAATATGTAATTTTCAGTTCAAGTCAAATAATCCTATTATAGATAATGCTCTACACTTTCATGTTCAAATACAAATTACCTTTTAACTATGAAGAACTTTACTTTGTGGAAGCATAAAACTCTGTAATAAACTTAATGACTTTCTTATCTTAAACTTAATGACTTTAAGTATCAGTAAAAAATTATTATGTAGAAGATATAAATGATAAGTGCACCAAATAGTCTCTTCCCAAGGGAGGGGAAAATATAAATTCATGTTCCTCAAGGGGTATGTGAAACCGCTCACAGTATGCTAGTGTTAAAACCAAAGAACTGGTTAAAAAGAATGGAAAATGCATCATGCTTTCCAATCATTTCTCTGAGACAAAGTCTGTCTAAACATCAAAACCCTCTTCGTTTCTTGGGGTAAAATAGTCCTCTCTCTATAATCTATACATCATCAAAAATTGCATGATACCCACTTATTCCTGTAAAACAGTATCACATCTCTAATGTCACTCCTTACCATCTAAGAAATGATCACTATAAATTTTTGTAGGAAAAAAACTTCAATTCTAATTACGGGTTAAGTATACCTTTACTAAATAGGGTATCTAGGTACACTCAAATATTCGTATTTTCACCAGTCAACCTGCCCCTCCCCACAGAAGCACATTTATGTATTTGCATTAAAAATACTGAGGAAATGATACTATGATATATCACTTTAATTTTAAAATTGAAACTGGGAAGCTAAGAACAAAATCTGAATACCAAGTCACTATGAAACGGTAAAGAAATTAAAACTCTAAATTCAGTCCAACTCAACAACCAACCACATCACTGGATGTTTGTGTTATGGTAGGTGTGCTGTGGGAGAGAAAAGGTAGACTAGGACACTAACCCCTTGCCTTGCAGAGCTTACATCTAGAAAACAGTACGGTAATTACCACAAATGTACAAGGTACAGTAGGTAAAGCAGCAAAATAATTAACTGAATAGACAGTCGAGGTAGATTGAATACTACATGCAAAAGCAGAGATGCTTAACAGCAGTGTGTTCATCAACTCCAATGATTAAAACAACACAAAAACTGCAGACCAACAAAGTTTTACTGGGATATCTGAGTTTCTGAAAAGACATGCAGGAGCTCCCTAGCTTTTGGGCGCTCATCTGGTATTATCAGTTACACCTTAAGTGTTGCTGGGAGCTGACCTGGCACTCACAGCTAAGTTCTAACATTCATCTGTTGTTGAGTATAAACAGTTTCATTCTTCATCACCAGACAAGACCACTCTGTCATCATGACTGAACATAGACAAAAACATAAACATTATTCTATCCACAAAAATGATCAAACATCCTTCTAGCTTGGCTGATGTAAGTGAACGCTGCTTCTTTATAGCTTTATTCTCACTCTATTCTTCTCTCATTCTAGTTAAGACTTATTAAGATACCCTGTCACAGAATTACCCCAGCTTCCCAACAGCATCCAATTCTACACAAGGCCCTGCTTCCTTAATCCCTCCCTAAAACCACCTGACAGAAGCCCAAATCCTAAAAGTCTTTTCTAACGCTCTTACTGAAATATCCCATGATTACAGTGGCATGCATTTTCCCTCACTGTAATGAGTAATAAACCCAATTTGTCACATTGCAGGAGCGTTCTTGATGGTCTCTGGTTGGAGGGCATTGATAACATTTTTTATAATTAGATTAATCCCTAAAATATTAACTAGATGGGCTGAATTCAGGGCTTTTAAAATCCCTCTTCCTCTTTTATAAGAAGCATCTTAAGGATGTGAGCATAGGCATACCATAGCAACATAATTATATTTTCTGATAACTTGGCGAATTTTCTTCATTTCTTCATCCAGGTTGCAAGCCCAAACTTCACAAATTCTTTGGCTATGATCTACAGTTGCTGCTGGCATAGTGAGGGCACAGAAGTCTAGATGCCAAGCATCAAAATGTTATACTTGATTGAAGATTTGTTTGTTTCATAAAATACTTTATCCTTTATTTTTGTACCTGTCAAAATAAAAACCAAATTTATAATAATAAATAATAAAACCAGTAATATCAGAAATCTGAATCACAGGATAATTGGGTTGATACAAACCTAAAAAATTATTTATTCAAAGTTACTAATTTGTAAGATAATCAGTTTGGGAAATGACTTGTCTAAAAGTAACACAGTTAATCAGTAGGAAAAAAGGACCTACAACATAGGTTTTCTGGTTCTAATATCAATATTAAGTAACAGTCTTTTTTTATGTGTACATACTAATCATTTTGAAAAACTTTCCATTAATTAAAGATTGCTCTGAATGAGACTCTTTCTCTGAACAAAACTTTATAAAGACATCCATTTCCACACAGAAAATGAAAAGTTAAATAGTGATATAAACAGGATCGGATGTTACTAGGACAAAAGGAGTGTTTGCTTTTACTCATTAACAGAACACTCAAAATCTAACTTGATTACAAAATCTACTTTAGTGGCATTTATTCAAGTCGGATTAGAAGGGACCTTTTTTAGTAAACCACTACCACCAACAGAAGGAGGGGGGGGGGAAGCTCTTTCAGAAAAATAAGTAACAGCCACAGAAATTGTTTCACTGTCCAAAACTGCAGGAGGAAGAGAGAAAACAATAGGGTGTATGCATTTCAAACTGTTTTCTCATTTCCTAAAAGCTTGAGCATCCCCCCCCCCCCCAACAAGTTACCAAATACACATCTCTCGTTTCTGGTCCATAAGCAGAGTATTATGCTACCTAATGGTAAGAGTACAGCCCCATCTTAGAAAAATTCCAAAGGCTCCTTCATTTTTCACAGAAGTTTGGGGGGGAAAAATTCCTAAAAAGGGTAAAAAAGGGGAATTATGATCCCCCCCCCAAAAAAAAACACTTCAGTCACAGATGTCACCTCAAGTCCTCTAAGAACAGAAGTCCAAGATCTAGAGGGACCTCGCCTTTATTACCCTCCCCACTCCGCGAACCGCCCCCCCCACACACACACTCCGAAGACCCTGTAGCTTAACACGGCCATTCCCCCCCTCTCTCTCTACGATTCCAGAAGCCCCGACCAGGCACCAGAGGCCTTCTCATCACGGGAGATCGAATCTCCGTACTGCGGGCTCCCGAAGAAACGAGAGGACAAGCACCGAGGCACTCAAGTCATGGATAACTCTCTCCCCTGGCAGGGGGCCGGTGTGAAGGTGCTTGATAACCACTGACTGGAGCCAGACCGACTCCCGAGCACTGCTGCGGGAACAACTACGAGGAGCCGGGGAGCGGAGGATCCAGGCCACCGCCCTCCACTCCCAATTTCCGTCCAACAACGTCGAAGCCCCAGGTACAAAGCCTTTACGTCATCACTCCGCGCCGCCCCCTTGACATACCCTCAGCCCGCTACCCTGCCCCCTCCCCCGCCGCCGCCGCGCTCCTTCCTTCGCCAGCCGCCTTCCAGCTGGCGCCATCGCTCACCCTCTCAGGTTCGTCGTTCCCGCCCCCTTTCGACTTCCCCAACCCAACCCGCCCCTCCCCCCCGGCAGACGCAAGATCTACTTGTGTCGCTGAGCTCGCGCTCCTCCTCCTCCTCCTCGCCATAGAGACAGCAACCAGCGGCGGCGGCGGTGGCGGTGGCGGCGGCAGTAGCGGGTGCCCCATAGACACCTCACGCCCAGCAAGGGGGACAGGGGAGCCGGGGCTGGCGCCGCACCGCGCTCCGCCGTCGCTTCTCGCACGTCCTGGCGGGGGCGCTCGGTGATGACGCGCCGCGCAGAGGGGGCGGAGCACGCAGGGGGCGGAAGCGGGGGTGGCGGAGCGCCGGGCGGCCGGGCCGCGGCACCGGCTGGTTTGCGCGTCGAGACCGGGAAGGTAGAGCTGCGTGTGCCGCGCGGCTGCTTTCCTCGCTCCAGCTGCCGGCGAGCGTAGTGTTAACGCCCATCCGCCCGGGCCCCGGGGATCCCCCCAGCCCGGCTTCCTTGGAGGAGACGCGGCCCCCCCCAGCACTTGGGACCCGGGCGTCTCGGACCGCTCGTCCAGTCGCTGGGGAGCCGCCGGCCGGAGCAGCTGGGAGAAGCAGGCCGGAGCCTTCCGGGGCCTCGGGCGCGGGGACCCGTGGAGGATGAGCTGGCTCTTTCCCCTGACCAAGAGCGCCGCCTCCTCCGCAGCTGGGTCCCCCGCTGGCCTCACCAGCCTCCAGCAGCAGAAGCAGCGCCTCATAGAGTCCCTCCGGAATTCACACTCCAGGTGACTGGCCGGTCGCTGCCTCCCCGACCGGAGGACGAAGTAGGGCGGGAGGGTGGGCCGCGGTCCTAGCCGCACAGAGCTCCTCGGGCCCGCTGCCGCCGGCTGCCTCCTCTTGTCACGCCTGGCTTCGTCTTGGGTCTCACGCTTGCTCTTCCATCCCTGACCCGCGGTCGGGACTTTGCCCCGGACCGTCCGTCCCTCCCTCCCTCCCTCCCTCGGGCCTCACCGCGGCTCCGCTCTTGCAGTCGTGACTTGCTCATCCCTCCTGACACATCCGTTCTGGCGGCTGTAATCTGTCTTACGGTCTGTATCCAGTATGCCCGGCCTTTGATCGGCCTCCTCCCCGGCCTTCTCCTTTGCCCACTTGATTGCCACATTACCAGGATTGTTTAAGTACTGCCCGTGGCTCAGAAGAACCGTAAAGAGTAATCTTCAGGTTTCACAAGAGTGTAAAAAATTTTGGGAAAAGGAAAGAAACTGTTGTAACATGCAAGAGGAGCCAGAGTTTTTATCAGTGAATTCTTTTTGGCTGGGAATGACATACTCTTATCTTCTTAAGTCTTTAGGATTTACCCGGTTCCAGCAGCCTCCCCTCAATCTGGCCAACTACTAGTCTAGGGCTCCTCTCACTTTATTATTCTTATTCTCACACCCAGGAATTGCCTTTTATATTAATCTTAATCTGTTGTCTTCCTATGAGGGTTTTTCTTTTTTTAAGATTTTTATTTATTTATTTATTTATGATAGAGAGAGAGAGAGAGAGAGAGAGAGAGAGAGAGAGAGAGAGGCAGGCTCCATGCAGGAAGCCCGATGCGGGACTCGATCCTGGGTCTCTAGGATCACATCCTGGGCCGAACGCAGACGCAAAACCGCTGAGCCACCCAGGGAGTCCCCCTTCTTATGAGTTTTTCATTTTCAGCATGGTCAGGTTAGAAATATGTCGCAATTCAAATTATTTCAGCTGGTTTTTTTTTTTTTCTGTGAACTTCAGCCCTTTATATTGCAAATATTATGGCCTCCAATGGTTTACAAAAAATTAAGACTACCTCCTTTTATGAAATATGCAAGTTTATTTACTTAACAGTGTCACAACATGTCTTTGTAAAGATACCAATATCAGTCAGCCCTCTTTTTTAAAAAGACCATGCATTAAAAAAAAAACAACAAACAAACATATGAGACAATAAGATTAATTCCTGTTCAAAGACTATTAGGGGCCACTTTATCTGTTACTCTAATAATTTTTCCTGGAGCAAGTAAGTTACAGTGTAGAATAGTTTTAAATTAAATACGTTGTTAAAAGAAAAATTCACTGCAAAGTTGTTATGGCTAGAACAAGTGGCTACTGCTGATTGAACTTCAGATGTTTCTTGATTCTTTGTCTCAATTCTGCTGGTCCAGAAGTTTCAAAAGCTGAAAATTTATGGTATTTAACAGAAGAGTAGCATGCTATTTGTTTTAATGGTGGCTTCCTTTCTGGAAAATTAAGTTCCCAGGGTTCTTCCAAGTCAATCTTGCTCTTTTTTTTTTTTTTTTCTCCCCAAGTCAGTCTTATTCTAAATAGTGTTCTGTACTAACCTGTAAGAGCCGTTCTTACAAGATATGCTTATAAAATTAAAAAAAAAAAAAGCTATGCTTATAAAATAAGTTGACTCATTTTGAAGAAGCATAACAAAAGTTTGTCTCCTTAGAAAGTATCAGCTTGGAAGATTGTTTCTAGTACTACTATTGCCAAAATACTTTTTTAGAACCACACCTTTGGAATTAATTGCCTTTAAGCTTTTGGTATATATTCTGTTAAATATTCTCACTGCTGGCAAATTTTTATTGTTTGGAGTTGAATTTTTTAAATACAGCCTCTTGCTGCTAAGATTAGTAAATAAGGGTAGTGACTGATCTGAAATTTCTTGTGTGGCTTTTTTTTTTGGGGGGGGGATCTCCCAAATAAGGTGACATTCTAAAACAATTGCTAATCTAAGAAATTTTGGAATTGGCTTAAGCTTTTAAGTTCTTTTATAAGAAATACTTGTAGTTTTGTTTTATTGAAATATTTCACATTTATAAACTATACTTGGATAATTTTGGAGACAATTAGGTGATGTACTTTCAGTTTTCAAGGAATTTACAATGCCAGAAAAAACGTGTCATCCATCTGTTCTTGTTAAATCTGCCATTTGAACTCATGTCATACATTCTAAAACTAGCTGGTAAAAATGATCTATTTATGCAGTATATGACAATATGTTGCCTAAGTAGCCAAATTTCAGTACTATAATTATACTGAAAGATTGTTGTGCAGTAAGACACTGTGGTTGGTGATTCTGAAGGTGCATTCTGCAAAAGTTGAAAGAATGTTTCAGGTGATATTTTGGTGAATAATAGAAAAACTTTCTAAGTTATGAATATCAATATCTTGTTGCATGCGGCCCACTTCCCTAATGTTTCATACTCTAATCCTTCAGATGTAAGATCAACTGCTCTTTCCTAGCAAAGGAAAGTATCCAACTTCTGACTTCCTCAGTAACGACATTCTCTCTTATCCTTGCCAGCTCTTTTCTTCTTTTTTTAACTCCTTATGATAAAAAAAAATTGCATTGTAGGAAATCCTCTGTTTGATTTCCTTCCTTAAATGAATTTAATCTCCTTTTTTAATTACCTTAAGAAATTCTTAACTCATCTTAGAGTGCATCCTAAAGGTGAGCTGAATTTTATGTGTATTTCCTCATTTTGATCTTACTGGTAAGGCAGGCAAAATGGGAAACTATCATAGAAGACAAAATTTTTAACCAAAGCATAATAACATGTTTGTCTGCTATGAAAATGGAAACTGAAAGTTTTGTAGACTAGGCTCAAATAATATATTCCACTTTCTGAATAACAGTCATCATAGTTTTCAGTTTACCACGAACAGTCCTGTCTTTATGGACAAGGGTAGAATTAGTTCTGTTGTTTCTTCTACTTCCTTTCCTAAAGAAGCTCACTCTGAAGGACACTCTTGGTTTCCCACCCAAATCCAATTTTCCTGACTTCTTGAAAGAACACCAGTTTTTATCTGGGTTTCCAGTATGCAGGATCACCTACTTCAGGGAAGCTGTCCTCTTTTAATTCCAGTAGGCAAATAGTGATAGTTTATACCAATCATTCACACTGCCAGTTGTGAAAGCAGGACTCTTGATCAATGGGAGTTGGAGAAGTCAGCTGGGGAGCTGCTCAAAATATTTTCTGAGTAATAGAGATGTTCAGAAGGAAATTCTTTTATGTTTTGGATATTGTTAAGTTTGGATATTGTTAAGTATGGAACATCTGGAACTGCTTGGATCATGAAAGACAGATGGAATCTCCGTGATAATATTGTGATACTGTATCAGCATTGGAACTTTTGGTGCCTCTGGACTTAGTCCTCCCCCCCCCCAATATTTTATTTATTCATTTATGAGGGACAGAGACATAGGTAGAGGGAGAAACAGGCTCCTCGCGGGAACCTGATGTGGGACTCGATCCTGGTACCCCAGGATTACGCCCTGAGCCAAAGGCAGATGCTTAACCACTGAGCCACCCAGGCATCCCTGGATTTAATCCTTTTTAAGATTAGTAACCCCTCACTGTTTAAACCACTTTGAACCTGGGTTTTCAATTTCTTGCAATTGAAAATTTGCCAAGTGATACTAATCCCTATATTTAAAGATTCTTCAGAAGTGAAGCTGTTAATTATTTCCCTGCATTGTACTACAATCAGAAAATACTAAGAACTGATGGTTTTAACAGTTAACCATTCTAACTATTTTGGTTTCTTCTTTCTTAACAATATTTAAGTTAATTAGCTTCTTTTGTTTCCTTAGCTCTAAAACTGTAACCTGGAACTGTGTTGGGAATAGTTATTGACTATGTGAATTCAAAGTTATACAAATAACAATCTTTATTACCTTTTACTTAGAGATATCAGCTCTCTCAGTAAAGAACTTCTGCATTCATTTTAATAATTACATGGTAATTTTGGTGCTATTTTTATTTTATATTTAATAAGGAAATGTAATTTGGGGGTTATTATGTTTGTCAGAATTGCTTTTTTCATTCTATTATGATGACTATCTTAATGGAAGAGGCTCTGAACCATAAGTTAGGAGACCCTGATGTAACATTAACTGCAGGGCAAACTTGGATGCTCACATAACCTTAATAGACCTTAGGACCTCTGAAGTAAGAGGATTAATTGCCTGATCTCTTATTGCCCCACCCAACTGTGAAAGTCTGTTGCTTTCTCAGGTTCCTGGATGTAAGCACTCTCGTAAAGATAAAAGACAAAATGAATTTGAGCAATATACATGGAAGTAAGCAAAAATTATTGACCTTAGGAAAAACAGCATGACTTAGGTTGAATGAAAGCTTTGTACACAACTGGCCTGGATTCCAATTTGGCTGTAACACATGATAGCAATGTGATCTTTTGGCAAGTTACCTAACTTCCCTGAGCCTCCAGTTCCCATCTGTAAAATCAGAAATTGTGATTCCTATTGTGAAAGATTGTTAACATTTAAGTGACATATATGAGTATTTATTAGAGTACATGGCACATAGTAAGTAAGCATATGACAAATCAAATTTCTTCTTTCCACTGCAAAGAATCAATACACATGGAACCTTTGCCTCTTAACCTGCATGCTTCTTGCCAGCTTATTGTTTGTGAATCCCTCAGAAGTTCACCTACAGCTCATTTGCCTCTGGTAGGAATACTTCTGATTTGCCATTCAGTAAGCACGTCCATTTCAAATAGTTTCCTCACAAATGAAATATACCTGTTTTGAGGGATTTAAGATATAATGCATGTAAGGAAACTTGTTATACTCAGTAAATGGCAGTTATTTTTCTTAAAAATAATGGTGCTAATCTGCATAGTCTTTAAAAAATGTTTTTGGAGTTTTCTTTTGCTGACAGTCCCTGGATACCATCATTCGTTCTAATTGCCCAAACCTTTAGCTTTATAACTTCCTTGAAGAGTCTGC